TCCTTTCGATAGAATTGGGGTCTGCTGTTCATTTTTCCTGTAGTATGTTGGGTTACTGTCTGGAAGAGCCTTTATCTATCCTGGCCAACAACTCAACTGAAGGTATCACCTGTCTGGCTTTGCTTAAACTGTTTATATTTTATAAAAGAGTTTGTTTTCAGTGTTGAAATCATCTAGAACTGGGAGCTACTCTAGAGTTGATATTGTGACTACAACATGCTTCAAGATGTCCCCAGCTCACAAGGAAGTAAGATCCCAAAATACGTTAAAAATAGCCCCACTCAGCTAGGCTAGTTCTCTGTCCCATCTAATCATCTTTCTTGATAATTCTCTAACCACACGTCTCAGAATTTAGATAGTGTGATAATAGGAAAGAGTTATGAAAAATGCAGTGTGAATTTTAACCTATAAAAATCTTCATTAGGCATTTGGGCTTATAAAATGTATAGAATTCATTTGTTTGAGTGGAAAGAAAAACAACTGGATCACGTCCCCCACTGGTACCACGAGCCCAATAAAGAGCCCCATGATGTTGCCAGGCAAGTTTCTGGGAGCTCAAACTCTGAAGCCACTGAAGGGACAGGCCAAAAGGAATGTGTTAGCTTTCCATTACTATAACAAATACCCAAGACATTCAAGTTATAAAGAGGGAACGTTTATTTTGGCTTTTGGTTGGTTGGCCCTGTTGGTTTTGGGCCAATGGTGAGACAGCACAGCACAGTGCTAAACACATGGGAAGGACACTTTGCCTCATGCCTAAACATGGCAAAGAGAAAGAGGAAAAAACTGGAGTCCCACAATCCCCCTCCAGAACACATCCCTGATTACCTGAGACTTCCCATTCAGCCTTACCTCTTGAAGTTTCCACCACCTCCCAAGGCATCACTTGGGGAGCAAATCTTTAACACACGGGACTTTGAAGGGGCATCCTAAAGCTAAAGCAAGCTGCTATACAATTCACCATGTTCTAAATTACCTGTTCATGTCATGGAAAAATGTTTATTTGTTCTATGACTGTAAGCACTGAATGGGAAAAAAAACATTTCCTTGGTAATGTCTACTAAAGGCCTTTAAAAAAAAACTGTCCACACCAGGGCTAAGAGATGGATAAGTCAGCAAAGTGCTTGCCACTCAAGCATGAGGACTTGAGTTCAATCTCCAGCACCCATATAAAGAAACAAAGTCAAATGGATGGCAGTGCTCGGAGGTGAAGACTGGAGGATCCCTGGAGCTTGCTGGCCAGTCTAGCTGAGTCTGTGAGCTCCGGGTTTGGTGAGAGACCCTGTCTCAAAAAGTAAGACAGTGGTTGAGGAATACAGTCAACATGCACCTTTGCCCTGCTCTCTCTCTCTCTCTCTCTCTCGCTCGCTCGCTCTCTCACTCTCTCACTCTCTCTCTTCTATTGAGAACTATTCCTAGGAATTTATGCTAAAGAAATTATCTTGAGATATAATTCTTTCTTGCAAGGTGGGTTTTGTTTTGCTTAGTGCATGATTACAATACATGCTTACCATTACCATTTATTATAATAGCAAAAAATTCGAACTAAATAATTTGACTAAGTGTGTGTATTTAACCAATTGATTAAAATGATATCTTACTAGAATGGTTGGTTGGCTTAAAAAAATCCACAAAATTTATTTACTTTTCAAAAATGGCAGAACGTAACAATGGTACCTCTCTGCCTAAGGCTCAAGGAACATAGTAAAACAAGTGGTAGAGAGAATACTAGAGCATCCCTCAATTCTCAACAGTAAAGCTTCCTCATGCAACAGAGGGTGATGAACACAGAAGGCCACAACTGACCAAAGTGTAGAGAATAAGAAACTGCAGAGTGCCTGTCCATGAATGGGACTCCTATATTAAACTTCACCCACCCACAGCTCAGGGACCATTGTGGAGGAGGGAGCAGAAAGATTTTAAGAGCCAGTGTTGGTGCACGAACATAAGAAAACAGAGTCTTCCAGGTCACACCTGGCCAAAGTAGAGAATAAGGAACTGCAGAGGGAGTGTCCCTGGATAGGACTCCTGTATTGAAACTCACTCACTCTGGGCTCAGGGACCATTGTGGCAGAGGGGGAAGAAAGATTAGAAGAGCCAGGGTTGGTGCATGATCATAAGGAAACAGAATTTTACAGGCTCCTGGGGCCTTGCTCATATAAACTTATAGCAATGGTGTCAGCATGCACAAGACCCATGCAAACTCAGTCAGATAAAAACCAGCATAAAGCTGGGGAAATGAGCAGGAGGCCCCAACCTTAGCTGAGTAACTATTGGCAGTTGATCACTTCCGGGTGAGGGGGAGCTGATAAACTTTAAGGGGGTGGTGCTAGATAAGCTGAATAAGCTCCAACAGATGTACTTTCACCAAAAGACATCTGGGTACACAAATTTGACTCCATAGGCTTTAACATATAAGACAGAATCTTATTCGCAGGCTATGGGGGGGGGCTGCATATAGAGGAGGTCTAAATATGACTAAAATTTATTGTATGAAATCCACAAAGATTCAATAATGTACACAAAAGGAAATACTTTTTTAAAAAACTAGCAGGAAGGGCTGGAAAGATAGCTCAGTGGCTAAGGGAACTGCCTGCTCTTGCAGAGGACCTGAGTATGGTTCCCAGCACCCACATGGCAGATAACTGCTGTAACTCCAGTTTCAGGGGACCTGACTCCCTCTTCTGGCCTTTGAGGGCATTGCATGCATGTGGTGCACTTCAATACAAGCAGGCAAAAAAAAATATGGATACACATAAAATCAATCAATCAAAAAAACATTTTTTAAGTGGCAGGAGACACACATAGAAGCTGGGCCCATTTTTCAAACAAAATGATGGATGTAGGACTGTAAGAGATGGCTCAGCAGTTAAGAGCACTGGCTGCTCTTACAGAGGCCCCAGGTTTGGTTCCCAGCACCAATACAGTGGCTAACAGCCATTCATAACTCCAGTTCCAGAGGATCCAATATTTTCTTCTGATCTCTGCAGGCATTGCACATACATGGTACACTTACATGCATGCAGGCAAAGCACCCATGCACATAAAATAAATAAATCCAAATGCTGGGTATAATAATGGCATCTGTATATTAAGAGGGCAGTTATTGTTCTGTGTATACTGAAAGCTCACTGTTATTATGTATAATATGATGTTGGGAAGTAAGCTCTAAAACAATAGTGGTTATGTATTAGCAACAGGATTATAAATAGTTTTATCCTTTTTAGTTTGCATATTTTAAATATTCTACAATGAAGATGTAAGAATTAAAAACTAATAAAGGTCACTACTCTCCAGGTCTAGTTTCTTTTTAAATTTTTATTTATTTGTCTTTTTGAGACAGGATTCCCCTGTAGCCCAGCTGGACTGGAACTTACTATGTAGACCAGGCTGGACTTGACTTCACAGAGATCTACCTGCCTCTGCCTCCTGAGTGCAAAGATTAAAGGCATGCACCACCACACACAGCTTTATTCTTATTATTAATCATTTAGTATTTTATTTATTATTTTTACTTTATGTGTGTGAGTGTTTTGCCTACATATATGTAAGAGGACCGTGTGCATGCAGTGCCCACAGAAGCCAGAAGAGAGTGTTGGATCCTCTGGAACTGGAGTTATAAATAGTTGTTACAGCACTGTGGGTGCTAACAATTGAACCAGGTCTGCTAGAAGAGCAACAAGTGATCTTAACCACTGAGCCATCTCTCCAGCTCCTAGTTATTATTTTTAATTATGTGTATGCATGTGTATCTGTGTGTGGTTATGTCCATGTGAGTGCAGGTACTTGAGGAGACCAGTGATGGCGTCAGCTCCTCTAGGGCTAGAGCTATAGGTAGTTGTGAACCACCTGATGTGTGGGCACTGTGAGCTGAATTTGGATCCTCTAGAAGAACAGCAAATGTGCTTAACTACCACCAAACCATCTCTCCAGCCCCCAAATCTATATTCTTATATAAAATGTCTAATTTAGATCCCCCCTTTAAAGTTCTCAGGGAGAAATTTACCTACAAAATTATATATATTGATCAGAAATAAAGTTTCATAATGCATATTTGCTATTTATTTTATATCAAGAGAAAGAAGTTTGATTTAAAAAAATTATTATTTTTTATTTATGTGTATAAGTGCATGTATATAAGTGCACCCATGTTGTGCAACGCCCAGGGAGGTGAGAAGAGGGCATTGGATACCCTGGAACTAGAGTTACAAATGGTTGTTAGTCACCATGTGGGTGCCAGGAATCAAACTCAGGTCCTCTGCAAGATCAATGAATCCTTTAACTGCTGAACCATCTCTCCAGCTCCATGATTTTTGTTTGTTTGTTTGGTTGGTTGGTTTTTGTTTTGTTCTGTTTTGTTTTTGAGACAGGATCTCACTATGTAGCCCTGACTGACTTAGAACTCATATGTAGACAAGATTGGCCTTGAATTCACAGGAATAGATCTGCCTCCTGAGTGTTGGGATTAAATGTGTGCACCATCATACCAGTATGATATTTAATTTAAAAAATTTTTTCAGCAGTGCCAGGGATCAAACCCAGAGCCTTGCAGATGCTGAGCAAGAGCTTCATTGAACTAGATCCTCTGTCCTTGGCTTGTTGAAAGGAGGTTTTATTTTGTAGCCAAGGCTGGCTATGAATTTCTTATGTCACCCACCACTGTGCCCTGCATGAAATTTGACATATAAGGGGAGGTGGTTCTTACAGAATTGTGTGAGAATAATTGAATTTCATATGACCTCAATTTGCTGTTTTCCTCTCAAAAGAACCTATATCTGTCAACTCAAATAAAAATTCACTACACCATAACTTTGTGGAAGGCAAGAATGATTTCTCATCGGTACTTGTATTCTTTGAGCATGGTCCCAAATACTCTTTATTAACTAAATGAATAAGCTAACTAATGGTAAAATATGTTTTATACAATCTAGAGAATTCTTCAACTGCATAGTTGTTGAAGTACTTTCACCTACATTAAGAACGATTTCTTTCTCTTTTTAAAAAACGTGGAATGCTTCATGAATTTGCATGTCATTCTTGGACAGGGCCATGCTAATCTCCGTATTGTTCCAGTTTTAGTATATGTGCTGCCAAAGGGAACACAAGAAACAGCTCTCTCTTGAAAGTGTGGAAGTTGGACAAACCAAGAGAAAAGTGTTCATAGAGGGCTCTTATCCAGCGTTAAAAGAGAAGGTCCTGCAATTTATGACCTATGGATCAATCTGGAGAACACTAAGCTGATATTAAATCCAAAAAAAGAATTAAACTTGGAGAAAAAGAGAAGTTGCCAAGGGCTGAGATTGGATAAAGGAGATTTGGTCAAAGGGTACAAACTTTAATATAAGATTAGGTTCTGAGGATTGACTGTTCAGCAGCTAATTATAGTTAATAATAACATGTTGTATAGTTAAAACTTGCTGAGCATGTATTTGAAGTGTCCTTATCACCTCCTCCCACAGAAAGTAATGATATCAGGTGATGAACATGTTAATTAGCTTGTTTGTAGCAGTCATTAGCCAGGGAATATGTATGTTAAAACATCATGTTGTATACTTCGAATATGAACAATTTCTTGTTCATTATATTGTCAAAGAGTTTGAGGGATGATAAGATTTAGAAGGAGACTTCTATGGAATATTTACCACAATCTCCTTCTCTGGGACCAGGAATATGACTGGGTAATAGGACTGTAAATGGTTTGGGCGAATTAGTTAAGGCTAATGCTGTGGTCACAGGGTGGATATGTTTCCTCTGATCCAAGCAAGGGGCCTGAGAAAACTTGGTATCCTTGGCCCCTTTAGCATCATGCAGTCATCAACTGAACCCACAAAACATTTTTACTATTGCCTCTCAACCTGGGGTGACTTACGGTCCATGTGAGCCAAGTGGGTGAGACGTCTTGTAGTCACCTACAATGGGAGGACAGGGCCACTTTTTGTCCTCATTTTTTTAATGATAAAGGCTGTGGATGGGTCTCATGTTCCCAGGGCAAAACTTTTCTGTGCCCTCACTGCCATGTAGTTCTGGAGTTTGGTATCTTTATGCACATGTAAGCTGCTTCCTGCCTTCAAAATGCATACATACCTGAGTAGAATCTACCCAACTACCATCCTGGTAAGCTTCAGACCCTCCTTTCAGATAGGAAATTATTAACTGTTGAATTTCCAAGGTCAATGTTACTACTAAAATGGAAATGAAGCCCTCAATGCTGGCAGTGTCTATGTTATTTTCTCATGGAAACCCCAAGCGTCCAGTAAGCAAGCCCCACTACAAACTACAAAGGAAAGAAGGGACTGTAAGATATACCCAGAGTGCTTCTAGCACTTAATCATTCAATGACATATTTCCTCTCCTAAGTAAACATTGATTTTTGACATCTGGTGTTGGAGCTATTGCATATGTGGATGTGGCTCAGTTCCTGGAGAGAGCAGAGTTAGTTATACAGAATGAGTCACTGAGCCACACCTCAGTGTATTCAACACCAGGCTGACAATATGGGAATGCAGCAGGATTTCAGATTTCAGCAAGTTGTGCCATAAGAAGCAAAAAATCCAGGGAAGGCTGGAGAGTTTTCTTTATTAAAACATTTATTATTTTTAATTATATGTATGTGTGTATATCTATGAGTAGGTGTGTTCATATGATTGCAGGTGCCTTCAGAGGTCAGAGACATTGGATCCACCCTGGATCTGGGGTTATAGGCAGTTGTGAGCCACCCTACATGGGTGTTGGGATATGAACTTGGATCCTTTGCAAGAACAGTACCCACTTCTTAAATGCTGAGCCATCTCTCCAGTCCTAGAAAGTTTTCTTGTATTAAGTTCAGATTTGGTTTGTATACTCTGTGACAGTATTGCAGCATGATGTTAAATGAGAGCACAAAGAATAGATTCACATACCAACGTGTAATCATCTTGAGAGCAACAAAGATATTCTAAAGAGAGGCATATAAGCCCCTTGGTTAACTATTAGAGTGTTGAGATAACTGGCTGGTGATAGAGGAAATTCCCCAATTGAGGTTCCTTTTTCCCAGGTGTTGGAAGCATTGACAACTGAAGCTACCTAGCACAAGGATTAACAACAGGGCCAACAGGGCCAGCAGTGCTGAGACTTTGACCCTAACAACTCTGGGAACAAAGTCTAACATAAAACCTAGACTCCTTCTGTGGTGTATTATAAGTACTTTCCTTTGGGGTCATGTAGCTTTGTTGTTATCAGGACTGAAATTCTTTAGAATATTTTATGATTTTTTTTTAGTGTAAAGGAAAGGAAAATGATCTTTGCATTTAGAAATGTGTAAAGCTGAATTCTGAAGTCAATAGAGGTCTTAAAATATGAAGGCCAGGAATAAAAAGAATTGTGAATGTACATTGGGCACTGATAGACTATAACTGATTTTATAAAGTAAGTGTAAAAACTATTCTCAAACACTTTTATGAGAATTTATTTTTAAATTACATTCATTTATTGTGTGTGTGCACGTGTGTGTGTGTACACACCTGCCACAGCACACATGTCAGAGGACAATGAGGAGTCAGCTCCCTCCTTCCACCCTGTGGATACTGGAGATTAATTCAGGTGGTCAGACTTGGTGTCTAGTACCTTTACCTGCTAGCCATCTTGATGACCATATTTTTGCAGTTTATTAACTTCATTTTATCAGAGCAAATACAGGTTTGAGAAGTTTTCATTGAAAATCCCCCCACAAAGTTCTAATCCTTCAGAAATGGAATAAATCTCTTTTGGTTGTTTATAGGGTATGAACTCAAGTCATTCAACAATGAATAACTGAAATATGCCAAGAAATATTCTAAGATGAGGCCCTTCTCTCATGGGGCTTACAGTCTAATGAGCGAGATGGTTAACACACAGTGAAGAACCACAAGACTTCTTTAGTCTGTGCCAAATACTATCGGTAAAATCAACCAGGCTTCCATAGATTGATTTAGTATAGTTGCTGCTTTGGCACCCATTTGGGGTCCTGATATAAGCTGTTTGAGACCCAGTTGCCCAGTTGTACTCCATCTCTTTGGGCCTGCTTAAAATTTTCTCTCCTCATGTAATTGTTTACACCATAGCCCATTTGGTTGCAATCCGAGGAACCCAGCCCAACACACCCTCTAGCTGCTGATCATGCAAAAACTTCTCCTCATAGATATTCTCTTTAAATTAGCAAATCCTCAACCCTACAGAAAACTCAAGGGAGAATTCTGTGGCCCCAAGGAAGCTACAGTCTGTAGAGGCCGCCTCTGTCCTGCTTCCCACCTGCTTATCGAGTTCCCTGCTGCCTTCAAACTTCCCATGAACTCCTTCCCATGTTGGCACTCCAACATATCTGGGGCCTGTGAATAATACATTTCTTCTAATTCATGCATTCTTGGTTTACTTTCTCATAATATCTCACCTGATCAATGCATTTGAATACAGATCCCTACCTCACACTTATGCTTAGGTAGGGCCCGATTAGAACAATAACCATACAATGAAGGGTAATGGACAAAGAGAAATGGAGAGGTGAGAAATGGAGAGGAGGCAACAGGGAACTACGACTGATGTGGATTTGAGGAATGGAAAGAAGAACAGAGTGGCTGTGCACTTAGGGAGCAATATCAGTGGGTTACAAGATGAGGAGGAGGACAAGGGTAAAGTCACACAGAGCCTAGCTGACCCTGATGGGGATCAGGGTATGAACTTCAAGAAGCCCAAGAAAGGGGTTGGATAAACACAGAACACACATTTGCGAAAGAGTGATGTAAAGGGGAATGATGGAGCAAGAGCTTCTGAAAGTCCTCTCCATAAAAGCAGTGAGAATTTTGCCAAGTCAACATCTTCAGAACTCTGGGAATTAGCCAAAGATTTGCAGTAATATAGAAAATTTTTTAAAAAGAAAAATGCCTGAAGTTCTGTTAAATCTGTAAATTTTGAGGTGTTCCAATTTTCTGTGTACCATCACTTTTCACTGCTCTCTGTGGTCACCCTGAAAATGAACATCCTACAATCCCAGAGAGAACATCGCAGGTTGCACTGGAGGGCAGATGGACTGGGGCTCCACCAAAGTCCGTTATCCACCTGTCTGGCCTTCCTTGGGAAACATAACTCAGGGAAATTATCTTTATTTGACCTGACACAGACCTCACTAAGTGGGAAGTCTTTTCCCTGAGATCCTTCATGAAGTAACCAGTGGATGTTGTTCAATAATGAAGCTGCCGGAGGCAGTGGTAGCAGATGGAGAAAACAGCCAGCTACCCAAAAGAACTTAAAAGGGAAAACCAAGAAAACAAGAAGTTCACGGAGATTTCAAAATGTCCATGAAAATTCTGGGACTTGAAAGCTGGGTACAGGCTCAGAGAAACATCCCCAGGGTAGACGTTGGCCCTCAGTATGACTAGCTTTGCACAAGCAGGAAAGAGAGGCTGAGGCAGAGCTGTCAACTGCCTGCATGAATGTTGAAGGCATACCACAGCCTGTACACAGACTCTTCAAAGACTGAGAGACTTAGTTTTAAGTGATTGCAGAAATTTGTGTCCTACCCTTAGATGACAAATGAAATCAATTAACAGGTATGCGAGTTTCCAAACATAATAAAAATATAGACTTGACAGGATATGTTCAAAACAATCATTGAATACAAAAAATAAGTACAGTATCAGTTATTTTTCTCATTGTTGTGACCAAATACTTGACAAGAAGCACCTTAAGGGTGAAAGGATTTATTTGGCCTTACAGATTGAAGGGATACAGTACATTGTGGCAGGGAAGGCATGACAGCAGCAGAAACAAGTGTCTGGTCACATTGCATCCACCATCAGGATCAGAGAGAGAGGAATGCTGGTGCTCAGCTCATTTTCTCCTTTTAGTCAGCCATGAACCCCAGCACATGGGATGGTGTCACCAACATTCAGAGTGGGTCTTCTCTTTTCAGTTAAACCTTTCTGGAAACCCCTTTGCAAACACACAGAGGTGTGTTTCCATGGACATTCTAAAGCCTGTCAAGTTTACAATCAATATTAGCCATTAGAAACATCAAAACCAGAAGCCCAGGGAAATAAGAAATGTGATTTCTAGAGGTACTGTATCTAATATTGGTTAAAACATTTAATTTT